TTGTTTCACTTTGTCCTATTTAGTATGTGAATAAGTTGTAGAAAAATAAGGCGTTTTCATAATTTTGTCATAACATCATTTTAAGGATGGAAGTACTTCCAAAAGATGTGTGAGAGCAAGAGAAACTTTTGTCAGCACGGTTTCGTAACAAAATTATTTCTACCAATAAAACCTAAAGATGGCAATGTGGTCATGGTATTTGCTTGAGTCAAACCATGAAAAGCAAATATTTTTGACATTTGCAACTGCTAAGTTCAGTGCACATCAGTCTGGCTTTGGGGCACTTTTAGCTTCGACATCCTTCAAACTTGCAACTGTATTCTATCAGCTTACTTCAAGCTTCAGATGCTTCAGTAAGAGTCATCAAGATAGGCCGCCAATGGTCACTTTCTATTGTCCACCCACATCCTTTTGTCGTGTCCGGTGCGTATCGTATTATTGCCTATGTTCTTTAAGCATCCTGACTGCAGAAATGCACGACTCTCTCTAAATTTGACTATACTCATGTTCGAGTTCCACGTCACAAAATAGAAGCTACAACTGGCTGCTGCCACAGTAGCAGACAATTGTATGATAATTAGATAGACATTTATTCATTTGTATTATTGAGTATGATTGGATGGTGTTGTGTGGTAGTGTTTATCATGTAAGTCTAAGTCACTTACCTGAATACATGAGAAGGCTTGCCTAAAGCAGTAAAATCAGTAGTTAAACGAACATTTTGAGTCTATTTGATCATACCGTAATATGTCAGGCTGGTAATCTAATAAATCCCAATGTTACATATTAAAACACACTTTTGTACCTAGCCCTTTTAGCACAGCTTGTATTGTTTGATTTCGTTGCCATGTTACATGTTAAGTTGCTTTGGGTGTCTGTATTAAGTTAATGCATTACTGGGAATAAATTATTTTTACTATAAATCCTTGAATAAAAGCCTATCATCCAATGAACTTTAGGAAGCAAATGATAGCCATATTTTGTTCGTAAGTATTACTATATTGCTATGCTACACCGCCGCCATGAAAAAGATACAAACACACCACACTACAAAACTGTTTAAATATACAAAAATTTAATGAGATGATCGAAATACGCACATTCGTTAGCACATAAAATTTAATTTATGCCTTTCCGACCAGTTTTAACCAAAAATATAAGTCCAGACATAAGGAAAGTGAGCAAATTAAGTATTCATTTAAATTTTTTAAAGATCAGATATGTCATTTATTGGTCCTTAAATATTTAGCCTTCTATATTCGTTCTTGTTTAGGTGGAATGGTTATTGCATACTCGTGTTAACAAGCGTAGGGCATACAGAAATTCGGACCCCAAAAAGTATTACAGATCTGCATAGCAAACAGAAAGGAGGGTCATTCTCTGTGTTATTTTTCAAAACGAAGCAACCTTTTGACAGACATATTCGTTCCAAGCTAAATATCTTTTTTGAATAACCTCAACATGAAAATCTGTCTAATTGTTCTGTCAAAATTCCTAGATTCGCAGTCTTTGTGATAATCTGAACTGATGGAACTGGCACTAGACAGGGGTTGTATCAAATGTTTGACGTACACCTTTACTATCACTTGTTCAACATTCGTAATTTACTCATAAATCGTATGGACCTTTCATGCAACAGGCTATATCTTGCCTTCATGATTGTTACGAAGACAATGTATCTCATTGTGCGTTGGATACCAAGCAATACCCCCACCCCAATATAGATACACATGCACACTGTCATTTAAGATAAGTATAAGACGTTTTATCCATTCGAAAGTGTATCGTGTTTCCATAACGATTATAAATCTTTGATATAATTTTGAGAAATATCAAATTTCATATTAAAACCTATCATTCAAGATTATGAACAGAATTTTTAACCAGTAGAATCTTTACCGCATTTGAATAGACATAGAGCGACCTTCAGCAATCTGGAAACCTTGTATGTGCTTCTTTCAGCGTTAATCTATTTTGTGTCCAGTTGGATCCCAACAGTCACTGTATACCATACGAATCAATGATGTTTAATACCTTTTCATAATAATAAACAAATAGTAAGAAAAGTTTAACTTGCATTTCTTGAAGGTGATTCAATATTGCATCGTCTGAATAACATTCAAAAAATACTGATAACCTATGGGACTACCTTTAGTTTGTATCTCCTACATAAACTCAAAAAAGCTGCACGAATGTATTTAAATCACCAACAAATAAGTACACTTCACTAAAACCGTGCAGAAAAATAACGAATCCAAACATTTGTACACAGCGATCTAGCAAATGCTACAGTTACCAATAACCAATACAGTGTGGACTTTGTGTTTCAATGTTGAATTCTATTTGTGGAATTCCTTAGAACGCGATGATACCACCACCCGCGTATTTCCCAAACAATATAGTATAAATTTATAGATAATTAATTACAGCTACTTCTTTGAGGAATCATTTTTAACCAGTTTTTATTAGCATTGTGTTAGAAAATTTTTGCAACAAACTAAAGTAAAGAAAAGTCACTTTTATGAATTAGTCCACATTTTTGTTTTTACATTTTACTGTATATTTGAATTCAGCAGAACTCAAAAGAATTTACTGATGTAAGCAGATCATGATTGTGGTGTTTTAACATTTATATAAATTGTGATCGTTGTACATCAAAGCAAACATGTTATGTATATGTAACTTAACTATTTGTTTGTTAGTCCTATTTTTTTAAAATTCCTTTACAATTAATGTGATTATAACTTTGTCTACTGGATTTGACATAATATTAGTTGAGTTAGACCTTACTGTTAACTCTGATAACCAACCTGTAATGGAAACACTGTACCCACTGGCTGACCTTGATTCAGAATTAGTAAGGTTTCTGGTAAAGAACATTTTTAAATATTTATTTTATTTATTCTAAGAGTAAGATTATTTCTATGGAATCAAGACCATACCTGGAGTAATGATAATTATCATGTAACAAATTTGTAATCCTTCTGGAAAGATGAACTCTTGACCCCATCCGGGCTTCTGTTTGCGTTTTAGTTGGTTCTATAATTCATGGAATTATAAGAATTAGCCAGACCGGGTTCTAAAACTATGACACTTTAAGGTGTTTTGTTGTGACCAGTTTAAGTTGAATTTACATTTTATGGAATTAGTGATTCTTTTCCCAGGAAAATACATGTGCTCCTACGGAATTATTGGATATAGACATTCGCTGGAATATATTTGGAATTCTAAGCTGGAATATTATTTTATGTGATTCAAAATATAAACTGTTGATACATCAGTACAACGCTGACTATTGCATACGTCATTACTTTTCGTCTTGGAATTTCATCGGAACTCGAAGTCAAATTTATTTAGAACATTTTAACAATAGGATTTATATTGTTTAATTCCTGGAATAATTTTGAATTTTAATCGCAAGTCTTTCTTTCGCATTTTTATCTTGGTTGTCTTACTGACTTCAATCTTTTATTGTTACTTTTTGTAACATTTTGTGTCTAGGACACGTAAAAATATATTTACAAATTAATAATACAAATGAGACAACACATACATACATACATACATACATACATACATACATACATACATACATACATACATACATACATACATACATACATACATACATACATACATACATACATACATACATACATACATACATACATACATACATACAGACATACATACATACATGCATGCATGCATGCATGCATGCATGCATGCATGCATGCATGCATGCATACATACATACATACATACATACATACATACATACATACATACATACATACATACATACATACATACATACATACATACATACATACATACATACATACATACATACATACATACATACATACATACATACATACATACGGATTATAATCGTGAGATAACAAAGGATGGTTCATAGTTTGAGATATAACAAATACACCAACAAAATTAGAATCTATGATAACAATCTTACTTCCTTATATGTACTTAGGCCAAATATAAATTGTTTTCTAATATGAAACATAAATATTTAACACACTTAAACACATATTCCGACCATTCTAGAAACAACAAACTGAATCGAATTTTGTTGTAAAATAAAGACAGTAACTTGTAAAATAATTCTTTATTATTTAGCATGTGATTTGAATAACAAGTATATTTCTCAAATGTTCTAACTACAGCACTGTCATTATATAATTTTTACCTAATTGCTGTACCTTCTCTCTCTCTCTCTCTCTCTCTCTCTCTCTCTCTCTCTCTCTCTCTCTCTCTCTCTCTCTCTCTCTCTGTATATACAGTTTTGTGCACATGTAACTTTAAATTAATAACATCCAGTGTTTGTATAAGGGAATGGGTAGATCACAAGAGCAATCGTAAATTGAAATCAGTACCATCTAATGTATGGTTGCGATTCAATTTGTACAGTGTTTTCATTACGAACATCCAGGTAGGGACGCTAGTACAGGACCAACGCTTGTGCAATTTTTTTTCAGAAGGTACAAGAAAACACACATATAATACTTGGATAATTAAAATAATACGGCCTTTACTTGCATAATAAATGAACATAATCTCACAAATCAAGGTACGGTCCTTTGGTGGTGAAACGTAATGAGTATAGATGGCGCAAAAGAATGATATCTGAATGTGTACCACGTCAAGCGAACTCCTAAGAAAATCAATTAAAAAAAACAACAGCAATTAAATACTCGTGATAGCTACCGGTATGTTAAGAGCAAGTATTCTTCTAGAAATGAGTTTGTGATTTTGATTTTCAAAGTAGCTTTAACTAATTTCCAAATTTATAACGATGTTTGCAGTGTGGCAGTTTAAAGCAATATCTAGTATGGGATATCATGCCTCAGATATGTAGCATGATGTCCCCACCCAGTCATATTATCATGACACCAGTCCGACCAGTCCTAACACTAACCTTTTTAATACTGAGCGCTTAGCGAGACAGATGTTACTATGTATTTTATAAGTTTTAGGTATGCCTCGTGGGTGATCGAACCCGCGACCTCCCGCATCCGAGGCGGACGCTCTAACAACTCTGGCCACCTGAGCTGTCTGTCTAGAAATGAAACAGTTAACAATTAATCAGTTTCTAGGGTATAAGTCATTTTCAAACATTTAACACATGTAAGAAATGAAAAACAAAATCATGTTGAGTTATGAATGTCAGCACTGTGTTATACACATGCAATAACATTCTTTCTATACTTCTTTGACAAATTTTCAACTGCCAAAAAGATACCACATCAAAGACAGACAGTAGAAAACTCAGTTCATCAAAGACAAATATTGTCTTTCTCATGGTCTCGTGGTCTGATTTCTGAGCGAAATGTTGGATGTTTGAATCAACGCAGGCATGATAGTCAAACAAATTTTGATTGTCCTGAATCCACGAATGATAGTTTCATATGAGAACAATGTATTACCATATTACATATATTTAACGTTAAATTGCCATATGGAGTAAGGTATGAACCATTACATTGCATCTTTCAAGGTAATATACACAAGACAAATACATACATATCTAGACATGTGGATGGCTGGAGATGGCGATGCGCATGTACACATGTGGACGTGAGGAAAGGTGGGGTTGGTCATGCGCATATACACATGTGGAAGTTTCCATGCGTAGGGTTGTCCATGCGCACATACATATGCGGACGTGTGAACTGGTTGCGACGGACACGCACATACTCATGCAGAAGTTGAGGCAGATAGGGACAGACACGCCCAAATACAGACACGGAAGTGCGGACAGGCCCACATACACATGCGAACGTATGGACAGGTTGTGCGGACACGCCCACATACACAAGCGGACGTGCGGACAGATGTGGACGGACACGCCTACATACAAATGCAGACGTGAGGTCTGATTTGGACGGACAAACACATCAGACGTTTGGAAATGCATACATACCTAAATGCAGGTGATATTGCTGCCTCTCAACCTGTTGTCAGGATAATGTGACTGGGTGGGACATCATGCTACATGTCTGCGGCATGATGCCCCAGTGCTAGATATAACTATAAACTGCCACACTGCCGACTTCGTAGCGATATGACTGAATAATTGTTAAAGCTATGCTAGTAATCATAATCACATCACATCACAAACACTTGAAAAACTTGAAGTAGCCTTTATAAAGGATATTATACCTGAACCAGAATGGAAGCTAGAACTAACAATGGTCAGAACTAATCAGTTTAATAAATTTACCGAAGAAAGTATTAAGCGCATCAAAAATCTTAACATGTGAAAGAATTATATGCGTTTGTCGCAGCAAGTTTGAGTTACAAAACCAATTTTTTGAAATCCGAGTACGATGATCATTTTGTAGGTTGTGACATCTAATCTAGTATAAATGGATATTTCCTATACACTACGATACTGATGAGACTTGAAATTATGATGCAAGATATGTTTCATCTATCAATGGAATAGATAACTATTTTTCATGGTTTCATCAACAACAATTACAACAATGACAAAAAACCAACAAAGACAAAGCAACAAAAACAAATATCATAGCAACTAGTCAAAAGAACAGGTGAGGAAGAAGAATGGTGAGAAGATGTAAGTTCAATCCCCGTTGCCACTGGAAGTGATATTGCCACTCCTGGTACAAGTAACATGGAAAATGATCTTATCTCTCATTAACCCAATAAAGTCCTTGCCAATGTTGAACAACTAAAAATTTGGATTGTGGAAAACGACTCGGCAATAATTCCACAGAAATAATTAATGAAGAAGCTATTATTTGTCTGAGATTATTTACAGGCGGTATCATGGATATTATTATTCATCGGTCCCTCATCTATGAAAATCATTGATTATTACCACAGAGATTGATGCAGTTAGATCAGTGACAAGAAAATAACATGATCATACATAATGGACAGCGTAGACCTGTAATCGCGATTACTATCATATAAAGTTACTTACGGAGATGGACTGTGATATGGTTTAGGGTCTATTCAGAAGGATAGCCCCAAAAGCAATACCGATTACAAAGAAATGATCAATGAAAGCTGTTGACGTTGTTCGCTTTAAAAGTATTTGTGCTATAGCAACATTGTACGTATATCGCCATCGGTCCGACTTCAACCAGTACAATTTCCCAGCACCAACGTTATGCCTGCAAATGTGAATAAAATAATTAAAGCAAACTGTAAGTCAAAAACTAGCAGAGTTGCCTGGTGCATACAAGTCAGAGAAAAACAAATATAACTGCTAGTCTGATAGCAGGAAGTAGTCTTCGTGCTAGTCGATAATGAATTAATAATAAAGATGTTCAAGAATGTATCTAAATCCACATTTGACATGGATGCACCAGTTCTCAAAGATGATTCGGTACGTGATTATCAATATTATTCGTATGATGCACCAGAACCTTATCACCGTGGGCAAATTGAGCTGTAGGTTCAGGATACAAGCAGACATATCTTACCTGCTGAATAATTATTGAAGTAGAAGGTGACAGCTTAAAAACAGATTATATTGAATTTGGAGTTGATGTTGTAGATGGTTTTGTTAATGATGGCACCATGTCGTTCTTCAACAAGACTACGTATAGTATTGACGGATGAAACATCTTATTATGTCTGGAAAACGTCGACTGTGCCACGACGATGTTGGGTCTAGCAAAATATTCCAATGATTATTCAAGATCAGCCGGTTCATCAATGATGTTTGTGAAGGATACTTCTGACCTCCCTGATTACAGACCAAAAAACTTCGTCGATAATGCTTGCGCTGATGTGTTGCCGGTGTTTCATGGGGCTAATCCAGATTTCAATTTAGGCTTCGTATCACGTCGATCGATGCTGAAAGATGGAGGTAGCAGATTTGCATGTACATTTCCACTGTCACATATCTTTAGATTGGCAGAAATGTCAAAAGGGTATTTTTCGAAGCCAAGTATACGGTTGTACTTGTACGAAAGGCTGCCAACGATGATGCATTCTGGCGCCCTATCGGTGATGCAGGTAAAGTAATACTGTCAAAATTTTCATTGTCGATGCCAACAATGATACGCTTACTTGCTGAAGAACAACGGCTACTAACTTTTATGGACTCAGGCAGCAAATCAACATTATCGTGGTTGTAGATGACCAGATAGTGTACAATGATTAATGGTTTATTCACATCGCAGAGAGCAACACACCAAGGTAGAAGTTATTTCTGCATAGCGACATATATTTCTTGCTTTCCAAAATACTGAACGAGTAAACTCTCAAAGCAACATGATATTTGACAAACCTGGTATTACTGAAGTTTCACTGAGAATAAATGGATACCATGAACCATCCGAAGATATATTATTAAAATTTGATAACAATAATGTAGCACGTCATATCATAGTGTGATGATATTTATGGGACGTGACCAAAATTTTGATTCTGGACTAGACATATCACGATTAGATTTTGCAACGCTGTATCCGATTAATTACTTTTCGCCGGAACAACTGGATTTATTGTCGTTGATATACACTTTCGAGCTCGTGTGGCAAGAAGAGCTATTGCTAATTACAGAGCAGTCGTATTTATACTCTCAGACAAAAGAATGCTGCGTGAAGATATTGGTAGACTAATGAGAGTTATTGATGCCCTAGTGGAACACATATAATTGGATCTCTTGCGATCTTAAGTGTAATTCAATCGCTCATGATAATGGCATATCATTTTTATGTGGACGCCATCAATGACATCGCCATAACAGGTGGTATATTTCCACATTTCTCAGCAATACCAACGTCAATAGCCGCTGAAGCCTCAGATGTTAAAAAAGCAGCTGCACTCGGTGCTCTTAGAACTGCCTCTGTGATGGCATTAAAGAAAGCAACAAATCATGGACTGAAAACATCCCCCAAAAATGACTGGTTTTAAGACTGACATGAACATACCCATTGATGGTACGGTCTTGACTCATGCGGCTCAGGTCTGAGACTGCCCGCGACTCATTGCTATAAATGTTTCCTATATCCAATTTGGATTTACTTGATGCTGCAAAAAAGTAAACATCAACAACTGCAGAGGTGTTTTTATGCGTTATCATTTACCAAAACAATAAAACTGTGTTGAAACGTGTCTCATTAATCTAGATGGAAGATCTGGTCCATTTATTCACTGAGTTGCATACGCAATCAACCCTCGTGGAGTCATTTACTTTGATTCATATAAATTGGCGACACCAAAATAAATTTTGAAATATGTTGACTAACTTCAAAACACTCCCGTCTGGTATTCAATATCACTAGCGTTATTGTATGACTATGAAGTACTCGCTGTGCACGACACTGTATAAAGGTCCCTATCACATCCTCATAAAGTTGTGCACGAGTATACCACGTCGTCCAACGTATTGAACGGGTCTAAGTAAATATACAATGGTATATACTTACGGAAGATCTGATCGGAGTTTTACTCAGAGCAAGATCCAAGGTGAATTATCCAAATATGCAACACTTCACCAGGACAAGGATGAACTCGCTAATCGTTGGGACAAAATGAATTTGTTGTTTAGCAGAATAACCAATGACGATGAAAGACGAGCAATATCCCATTGACAGATATTATTCTGCTGGTTAAATATACCACAGAAGATAACTTAGTGGAGTTTGCTAAAAACGGTAAAATGAATAACTTGGAGAAATCTTTTCTAACACTCATGTGAGAGATTACTGGACGCATCATTAGAATTGGAGATATTATGTATGGCAAGCTCACCATGAGCAGGAATGCAATCATCAATATTATAGAACCAAAATCAGACGATGATGTGGCAACAAAACAAAGAAGTAGATAAGAACTACTAATTATTTAGTTTCGTATTCGCATAAAAACTCCGATCAAAGTTTCTCAATCGCCTGTGCAAGTGAGACGAATTGTCGGACGTTTATATCATCATTGACGTATATCAGCTACTGTTCCATTGTCTTTTTGAGTAATTTAATACATCTGTATTCTGTCTGTATCTGGTCGCTATTGTGTATAATCCTTCGGATTTTCGTTCCTTTATTATTTAAAAATCATTTGTTACTTTTTTAA